GGGGGTGTGGGGTGGCGGCGCCTGAACCCTACATGTCTCCAGTGAGACAGTGGAGAGAGAGAGGGTTAGAAAAGGTTATGTCCCAGTTCTGGTGGGGAAAGAAATGGGAGACATGCAGAAGCTATGGATACCCATCAAGCTCCTCAGCCATCCAAGAATTGTTGCACTTCTCAGAAGGTCAGCCCATGAATTTGGGTTTCAACAACAAGGCTTGCTTAAGATTAAGCATGATGTTCATCTTTTTAAAGGTATGATGAAGAGCATATTATGGAAATCAAAACAAATATATGTAAGTAAAATGAACATTCCTGTGTAATTAATGATCACTATTCTAATATTATCCCCTTGTATCTTAATTGCACACTTAAATCTAAACATATAATTAATCACTTTTGTACTGCCGCCAGTATATTGGTCAATTTCAATTATTTATCAACTTTGGCTGCTTTAAATATAATATTATGTTAAAAAAGTTTGGACCTTTTAATTTTTATTAATTTGTTTCATGGTTCAAGTTGATTATGGCTGCTTTAAATAATATTAAGTGCTACGTACTAATTGTCGTTTGTTGGGATTTTGCAGGAGGAGCTCGTTAAGAAAACTAAGAAGTAGTAAGTATCTCAGAAGCATATCTCAGAAGCACCAGTAAGTAAGAAAAATGACCACTTGTATATTAGTGCAGGAACAGCAAGTCATGAGGACAAAGGCAGCCAAAATTGAGAGAGTGAGGAGTGGTTTCAGGATATGCAGGCCACAAGGGTCCTTTCTGTGGCCAAACATGGGCATCTCTACCCCACCCTGAGCCTCCTCATCCTCATCCCTGTACCTTCTCAGCCTGGGTCTCCTGTCAAGCCTGCCTGTAGCTGAGAGGCTTTATGCAATGTGAGCTATAAACCCTCTGCCTCTGCTCTCCTATTTTTCTTCCACCTGGGGCCCCCCTCCAATTCCAAGAGAAGTGTCACCGTCACCAACACACTCCTCATCAACCTAACCCTAATGAGCTCCCCAACCCTAACCCTAATAACCTCCAAAACACCTCTGAAACTAGCACTGCATTGTCTAGGAGACTAGGACACTCACCTACCAGAGAAGACACCATCGTCATCAATATCCGCGTGTGAGTACTAATATGTCTAAGCCCTTGTTGTGAATTATTAATTTCCTCTGTTTTTTTTTTTTTCATTTTTTTTATATATATAGTACTAATAATTAAGAAGAAAATTAATTACCCCCTTTTCATTTAATGCGTGTGTCTGCAAACAGATGTTGAAGGCTAAGACAGAGGATGGGGAAGATGGAAATGCAAGCAATGAGTCTTCTCAGCAGTAGCAGCAGCATGACTGGGACAAAGGCACTCTGATTACTCCCAATTACCTCGTTCAGGATTGGCTTAAGGCGATTGGCCAACACTTTTGCACAGATCTTGTAAAGAACATTACATAAGCTAATTGGGCGAAGCTGTGTCATATTATTTGGCTCCTTAACCTTGGGAATTAGGGCCACATGAGTAAAATTAAAATTATCCACCAGCCTGCCAGATCTTAGAAACTCCAAAACCGAGCTCACGACATCAGCACCAACAACGTCCCAATACTTTTGATAGAAAAAGGCTGACATCCCATCGGGTCCGGGGGCTTTAGAGGGGTGCATCTGAAATACAGCAGATTTTATTTCCTCCGCTGTAAACTCCTTGAGGAGAGTCTGATTCATGTCAGAGGTTACGCGTTCTGCCACCACGTCAATAATCGCAACATAATCCTTGTTCCCAGAAGATGTGAACAGATTTTTGAAGTAATTAACCG